TCCTTTCTATCTGTGTCTGATGGCGCTGACACACCCCACGGTTCAGTGAAGCCTATGATGTGGGAGTCTTCCCTGGAGTTGGAGGAAAGGCTTCTGGGAATCCATCAACTGGACACATCACTGGAAGTGGTACATGTCTTTGACAATTACTCATCTGGTTTGACTGTAATGAGGCTGTGCTCCTAAATGTTCCAATTATTGAAAAGCATTTCCTTCATTTTAATAATTCGGTAAAATAACCCTTTCCTCAGGAAGGTAAAAGTGCTGTGAGTATTACATCCTACTCTTCTTTCTGTGAAAACAGATGCTTTTTTAAGAAACAGACTAGGGTAATTTGCCGCCTGGGTTTTGTTTGTTTGCTCTTTCTTTTTTTCTTTCTTCTTGATTATAAGGACTCGAGCATCTTGAGGTCAGTAAAAATTATTTTTTTGTAATTCTTTTTTAGACATGATTTTGCCATTAGACAAGGCTTGCCTTAAATTCATGACCTTCCTGCAGTACAGTTACAGGTGTGTACCACAGTCAAAAAGGTTTGTTTTGTTATTTGAAGATGTGTGAGTGTCTGCATGTATGTATGTGCACCAGATGTATGGTGCCTGAGAAGGCTGTAAGAGGACACTGGAATGTGTAGAACTGGCATTTCAGATGGTTGTGTGGGTGCTGGGAATTGAACCTGGGTCCTCTACAAGAGCAGTGCTCTTAACAGCTGAGCCGTCTCTCCAGTGCCTTATTTGGGTTATTTTGAGTCTCAAGTAGGTCACAATGGTCTTATACTCTCCAAGTATCCACACTAGGCTTTGAACACCTGATCCTCTTGCCTCTAAGTGCTGGCATTACAAATGATAACACGCCCAGCTAAATTCTTTTTTTTTTTCTTTTTTCTTGATTATACATATCCCTTTCTTTTCTCCCTTTTCTTTTTTCCAGTATTAGAAAATGAACCTTGGAGCTGGAGAGATGACTCAGTGGTTAAGAGCACTTGCTGCTCTTCCAGAGACCCTGAGTTCAATTCCCAACACCCACATAGCAGCTCAAAACCATCTATAATGGGATCTGATGCTCTCTTTTGGTATAAAGGCATACATGCAGACAGAACACTCACACACAAAATACATAAATAAAAAATTTTTTTAAAGATCTTTAACATCTAGCCTCACAAATACTAGACAAATGCTCTACTACTGAGCTATATCTCCAGTTTTTGTTCTCTTGAGCTAGTAGTCTTGCTAGATTGTCCAGGCTGGTCTTGAACTCCCAGACTCAAACAATCCTTAAGGGCTAGGATTGTACTCATTTTCATAAATTTTATATCATCTCCTCTCAGAGCCCCAATAACATCACAAATGATTTCTTTAATTAACTAATAGAACTAATAGAAAGCTAAAAATGTCTTCCAAGTCAGTGTTAGTACATCTGGATCCTCCAGCGCCACATAGGGACCTCTGCTAAGTACAGAAAGCTGAGATTCCCCCAGATGTGATGAAGGGGAGACATCTAAGGATTTGTGGCCCCCACTCCAGCTGCAGCATCCACAGACATGCAAACCATTCAAGAGAAATACAGCCTCATCGCCTCACTTACATTGCCACTAAACCTTCATATCTAGACATCATTGAAACAATCTAAATTCGAAATTATTTTTTGTAGGTCCATGGTTAAAAGAGTTAAAAGAATTGACAAGTTAAGCCACTACTCTCTACTGCTTTTCCATGAAGATCTGTGGGGATCTGGGCTTGTAGATGGCCAGCTGAGTATAACTCTAGGACTAGGAAAATAGCATGACCTGAGCCTGTGTTCTGTACTTCCTGACTTACTGTAAGAAATGTCACTGCATACTATCATGCATGTGGAACCATGACCAGACAAGACATAGAACTGAATCTGGGGAATAACATGCTTCACTTTAAAAAGTGTATGAGTGAATCCAAGATCTAACTCTAATGTACAAACTGACTTTGTGGAGCCTATTCTATAGAGAGAGATACCTCTGTCACCTTGGGGGTAGGGGGGACTTGGTCCTACCTCAAAGAGATGAGAAGACTGACTAGAAAAGGCCTTACCCCCTCTGAGGAGTAGATGGGAGGCGAGGTGGGGGGAAAGTGGCAGAGCGGGAGGAGAGGAGGGAAGGGGAACTGGGATTGGAATGTAAACAATAAATAAAATTTTAAAACCTAAAAGTGGGCATATGTGTGTGTCTTTGTGTGTCTTTGTGTGTGTGTGTGTGTGTGTGTGTGTGTGTGTGTGTGTGTGTGTACACAATCATTTCAGAAAGAGGTGAAAACCTGGCAGCTTCCTATGGGATTTCAAACACTGATTTTTTTTGTTTATTTTTTTAGTTGAATTGGCATTCTTTTTGTTGTTTTGAGACAGGGTCTTATTATGTAGCCCTGGCTGTCCTGGAACTTGCTATGTAGAGCAGATTTGCCTCAAATTCAGAGAGATCTTCCTGCCTCTGCCTCATGAGTGCTGGGGCCAAAGGTGTGCATCACCACCTCCCAGCAAATCGGCATTCCAGATAAGCAGAAAGAGGCTCTCTTAAGCCAGGTGTTACCAAGACTCTATCACTAGCTACCCCCAACTTCCCTTCTCAGGAATGTTGAGCAGTGAAGGCTAATTACAAAACTTCCAAAAAGACAATCACACAATTTAACGTTTTTCAAATTTTATTTTAAAAATTAATGTATTTTTTAAAACTAGACTGTCAAACAAATCAGAAAAAAAGGAGATAGACAGACAGAAGATAACTTTGCTATTAAAGTTACAGTCAGGCAAAGACGGGATGATACTGGTAAAGTTCAATGTGGCGGTATGTCTGTTAGGATGTGGACAGTGCCGGGAGGATGCGCCACACTTCTGAGTATTCACCTGCAGATTTCCACTATTTCCATTTGATGCGTGCAAGTGAGCTGCTCGTGGCCTACACTGCTCACACCCTACTCTGACCCTGTTTACCACTGACACCTATTCTTCCCCCTTGCAACAGCCAGTAAAGGTGTCAACACCTGCCAAGTGGAGCAGACCATAACCAAAGTTTAACATCCTTAATGTAGCCTACGTGCCATTCCTCAGGGAAGCCTCTGGATTCTTAAGTCTTCTTGCACCATATCCAATATCACATTTCAGCTGAGTGTTCTGTCATGTTTACTTATTGCTCTGCTCATTATCCTCACTACATAAGGGCGTCAACACAGTGGAGATCCATCACTGTTAAATGCCTAGGATGCCTAGTGCAATCAATGCCAGATCAATGCTACAATCTTAACAGCTTAGTTGTGGTAGAAGTGTACAATACAATAATTACTACTGACACCAACAAATCCATATTTCCTTTTAAATGTAAGTGCTATGAAGATTGTCAAGGCAGACTGTGAGTTCTGAGTTGATAAAGACTATCTCTGATGGCTGATTCTTCCATCTTGGAATCAACTTCTCTCCACCAGCTTCAATGAGTAAACGAATGAACTTTACCTACATAGGCCTCACTTTCATTCCTTCAAGCACAAACTAGGTGGCTCCATTTCAGGCCGTGTTATCTCCACCCAGCCTACGCATGAGGCTGTTGGCATTTCTCTGAGGATCTTCTGTGTTACACTCCTCACTTGTTCTCCTGCCTCCTACTTTTAGAATGGCCTTCTTTCCCTGTCTTCCTGTCTTTACCTCTGTCTAGAATAGTGTTTCACAAGACTGCCACAGGCCTGGCTCCTCTGTTATTAGGCCTAGATGTAACAGGAACTGCTTCAGAGAGAGCCTCCCTTTAGGCTCTTTTAAAAGGACTCTGTCCATGCCGCCATGTTTGATGGCTACACATGCTCCCAGCAGATCACCAGCCATACTGAATCACTTCTTGTTGGTTCATTTCTTGTCGTCCTTCTCATGCTGTACTCCATGAGTCCAGAAACTAACTGCTATACTGACATTTCTCTCTAGTTTCTAAGACAGTCCCTGGTACTTAATCACTTCAGAAGCGACTGGAGAGTTTGATGGGCTGACTGAATAAGTGAACCCTTCAAACTGGCTGAAAGCTCCTGGGTTTAGATTTTCCTGAGAAACCTCTTGTATTTTCACTGCACTCTTCCTTCCCTGTCTCCCTCACAGCATTCAACAGTGTCCTTTCTGTTCTGATCACACACACCTTAGTGGCAAGGATGCCCAGGACAGAGATTGACAGCATATGACAGGTACCCAGTAAACATTGGCTTAGCGAATAAATGAAAAACCCAAAGTCGGGCACGGTGACACACATCTGTCATCTCAATACCAATGAGGCAGAGGCCAGAGGATCATGCTGGCTATACAGAGAAGATCATGCTGGGCTATATCAGACCCTGTCTAAAAATAGAGAGGGAGGGGGAAGGAGGGAAAGGAGGAGGAAGGAAGGGAGGGAAAGTGGGTGAGCAGACCAAAGTCTACCTGGCCTTCCCTCAATTTTCCGGCTTCTAACTCTGGATTACTGCAAGAAAACCCCATCTAGACAAATCACACAAGATAATATAAATAAAACGTCTACAACTTTACATTCTAAATGCTGCTCTGTAAGTTGGGATTTATCCTGCCTGCCTCACTCCCACTTTTCCCTCCTATGTTATGACCCTAATTTATAACACAAAGTATGGTGAAGGGTGAGGGAGACTCTCACAAACTAGAGGTACAATTTCTTTTTTTGTTTTTCGAGACAGGGTTTCTCTGTATTGCTTTGGAGGTTGTCCTAAAACTCACTTTGTAGACCAGTATGGCCTCAAACTCACAGAGATCTGACTGCCTCTGCTTCCTGAGTGCTGGGATTAAAGGTGTGCACCACCAATGCCCGGCTAAAGGTACAATTTCTAATAATATGTTCTGCAAACAAAAGAACTCTGTGCTAATTCAATTGGCTAACTGAACCAGTTAGTTACAGTAGAATTTGATTTGAATTTAATGTCATTTGTTTATCACACTAATCACTACACACAGGATAAACCAGAAGCCAGTGAAAAGAAGGAAACCTAAAGTTGTATACTTACTTGCTCTGTTGGGAACAGAGTATTGATATACTCAACAGCATTGAAGTCAGCTTGATCGAGAGGATCTTGGCTTGGAAATACCTACATAAAGATGGGGTTATTAATTAAAACATTATGTTGGACACCACAAATATATATATAGGTCTGTTTTGGCTCTTTTGATTTTGGTTCCAATTAGAAGAAACAGGACCAGCAAAATGACTCCGGCAAAGGTACTTGTCATACAAGCCTGAATCCAATTTCACAAAGTTGTCTTCTGACTTCCACATAGATGCTAAGACATGTGCACCCAAACATCATATCACATACACACACAGAGAACAATACTAAAACAAGGGAATGAAATTATAAAAATAGGGGATTCAAAATTTAACCTTTGTATTAGACAGTAGGTACTTTTTGTTTTTAGACAGGGTTTCTCTGTGTAGCTTTGGCTGTCCTGGAACTCTGTAGACTAGACTAACCTCCAACTCACAGAGATCCTTCTGCCTCTATCTCCCAAGTGCTGGGATTAAAGGCATGCACCACCACAGTCCATCTTAGACAATGGTTCTTGAAGACAAAACCAAAACAGAAAAGTTCCAACTTTTTTTTTTATAATGCTTCATCTATAGTGGATTCTCAAGAAAATAAGTAGATGCTGGGATACAGGAATGGAGGAGACAAGAGAGGAAAGTCATGAGAAGACAGAAGGAGCACCAAACAGTGCCAGCAAAAATCAGAAGTAAGAGGAGCCAACTCACAAGTCTTTCTGAGTCTTCAGAGCAAGTGTGGGTCTGCAGATGCTGTTTCCTGATGCAGTTTGTTGTTTTGGTTTTTTTGAGAGATGATCTTACTATGTAGCTCAGGATACCCTGCATCTCATTCTCATTATATGGCCCAGGCTGGCCTTGAACTGGTCCTCCTGCCTTAGCCTCCCAAATAATTGGATTACAGAGGTAGGTCAGAATGCTTGGCTCCTGCTAATATTTTTTATATATATGTCAAAAGAAACAAATATTTGGATGAGGGTACAATGAAATACCTAACAAAGTAAATCTTTAATTTTTAACACTTGTAGTGCTGACATCTTACACAATAAAAGACTGCAATGTGGACACCTCCTTCTAGTAGAGGACACAAAAACCTTGCTGACTATCTGTTGTCTTGGTTGCCTGAATGGCAGTAGTCACACACACTGAAGTAACATTTACCTATTCATTATTTTCTTATAATTTATGTCTGTCTAGTTACATGCTGTGTCACAAAGCCAGGAAGCCCAGCTTGTTCAAGCAAGAGGATCAGGTATTCAAGGTCATCACTGTCAGCTACTTAGGAAGTCTTAGGCTAGCCTGTGTTATATGAGACTCTCGATTAAAAAAAAAAAAAAAATCTTGCAGAAATAAAGACTTTGGTCCCTCCTCCTCACACAAAACAGTATGTTTGTGCATATATCTGTGTATATGTTTATACTGTAGTGCTGGGGGGATCAAGCCCCAGTGTCTCATCTGTGCTAGGCAATCCTCTACCACTTAAGCCACAGCCTCAGCTTGCCCTGAAGATACCTTTATGCTTCGGATAGTATCAAAAAATGGAAAACTGAGCCGGGTGGTGGTGGTGCACAACTTTGATCCCAGCACTTGGGAGGCAGAGGCAGGCAGATCTCTGTGAGTTGGAGACCAGCCTCTACAGAGTTCCAGGACAGCCAGAGCTACACAGAGAAACCTGTCTCCAAAAACCAAAACAACAAACAAAAGAAACCCAGCATTTTCACTTCTATACTACACACCTATGGTGGGATTACACCACATGCACATGTGACTACACAATTAATTAAATGCCCTGGGCAGAGGGAGTGATGGGGATCAGGGCCTGCCATTGTGAGCTGGTATTAGGAAGTAAGGGAATTATCCACTTCCTCTAACTGCTCCCAGTTTCTGCATTCCTCTCTTCCTGTCCCTGGGTATCATCCCAGGCATTAACAGATTTCACACAAGGCCACAGCCCTTGACTTCAGTTACTTCCTCCGGTGACACCCATGAAGAGCATGTCTGGCTCCAGTGCTGGCAGAGGAAACACGGGACTTATCAAAAGGTCTTTAGACACTGTAGCTCATAGGCAGTTCAGAGACTTTCAAGAGGAACATGGCTGCGGTGGTACTCACTCTATACACTATCTCCAAAACTGACCTCTGGGTAAGATATGATTCTATTACATCAACCCGTAACCTAAAACTCTTTACAATAATGCTACTGCACAACTATTTGCAGGATTTTTAGGATCTTGAACTATTAAAATAAGAAAAAAATCTAAACTCATCTTGACATCAGGTGTCTGCTAACTAAACCTTGAAAACTTGAGAACAGAAAATGTAGCCAGGTGAATTAGTAGTAGTAGAATTAATATGTTATTGGGCAAACTTCCCAATAGTCATTAAATGAGGCCATGCTATTCCTTTCTTTTCTTTTCCACTAGTACTGGGGATTGACCCTAGATCCTCAGGCACATGAGATGAGTGTTTTAGCACTGAGCCATATCCCTAGCTCCTAATGTGCTTTTTCTTACATAATAACGCCATGTCAATTCCTTAAGGTCTTCCTCCCTTTATGAAGAACAAAACCTATATGGGGCTTAAACAATTACTTCTAGTATGTTTACCATAAATATTAATACACTGGACAAGGGGATTTATTCAACAAGAGAATTTGTTGGGAAGAAAGAACTGAGGAATACTCTCCAAAATGTAACCAAACAGCAGAAATTCTCAGCCTTTTAACATTTTTACTGTATTTATATGTGTGGCCTATGTGTGTGTTGGGAAGCGCGCGCATACATGTGTATGTGCAGGTCAAAAGTAGTTCTCTCCCTCTACTTTGAGGGTTCTGAGGGAACCCTCTGGCTTGGTGGCAAAGTTCCTTTATCCACTGAACCATCTCGATGGCCCCTCAACCTTTTAATTATGGTAAAGGTCTGTCTTAGTTTACTTACCATTGCTGTAATAAGACACCCCAACCAAAAGCAACTTGGGAAGAAAAGAGTTTATTTGGCTTACAAGTTACAGTGCATCATCAGATGAAGCTAAGGCAGGAACTAAAGCAGAAACCTTAAGAAACACTGCTTAATGGCTTGCATTCCATGGCTTGCTCAGCTTGCTTTTCTACACAGCCTAGGCCCAGCCGTCCAGGGGTGGTACCTTGCACAGAGGGCTGGCCATTCCTATGTCATCAATCAAGAAAATGCCCCGTCGACTTGCCCATGGGCCAATCCCATGGGGGCAATTTCTCAACTGAGGCTTCTTCTTCACAGATAACATCAGCTTGTGCCAAGTGTCTGTCTGTCTCTGTCTCTGTCTCTGTCTCTGTCTCTCTCTCTCTCTCTCTCACACACACACACACACAAACACACCACAAGAGCCATTTTCCAGGATGACACCCTCCCCTGCCGCCGCCGCCGCCATTCTGCCATTTGCTTCCGGAATGAAAGTCTCCCGCAGCCAATTCCACTCCAAGGGTTTAACTTGAGAAACGGGAGAAGCAGCACCAGTCTGGAAAATGAATGAGGTCTCACAACCTCCCATAACCTAAATTATCCAGTCACGGGGTTTCTCCTAGGTTCATCCTGGCAGAGTACAGCAGCATCTCGGCCCAAACCCAGCAGGGTAGCAACCTGAGCCTAGAGAGGACGCATTCCGTCCAGGAGCTGAGAAACCCATTCCCACCTCCACCAAAACCCAGACCCCCTCTGCGCGCCGAGCCGCCACCTTTCCAGCCTGGGAGGGTGGGTTCGGCCCTGAGCCAGAGCCGCCCCCTCCTCCAGAGCTCCCTCCTGAGGGGGTGGAGCGCTCACCTGCTCTATGGCTAGTTGCACCTCAGGCGTGAGCTGTAGCACGGCCTCCAGCTCCTCCACGAACTCCAGTTCCTCCTCCTCCATCATCCCGCCGCTCAACCTCGACGCCCTGCTCCAACCCTGCTCCTGCACTGTCACTAGGACCCTAGAATTACAACCCACCAGGTACAGCGCTCGAGAAAGCCGCTACTCCTTCAGCTAGCCCGGCATTTCCGGAGAGCCGGGCACTTCCGGGAACCGGGGGACTCTGGGATAGCGGAGGACTGACCTCTGGAGGCATGGCTGTCAAGTCCCAGGACTGTCCTCAGACAGCCCTTAACCACAGGTCCCCTGGTCGCCTTAAGCCGGGGGAGGCCCTCTCCCCCTCGCCCGGGGCGCGTCCCCCAACCGGCGCCTTTATGCCGCGGGAGCGCCCCAGAGAGCTGCAGCCCCGACAGTGTCGACACGGATGGGCAAGCAAGCCCTGCGGGCCACGAAGCCAGCGTGCCACCCGCTCGCTGGGCCTCCTTGGTAAGGGGCAGTATGTGTCCCCCTGCCATCGGGAGTGAACTGACCCCAGCTGGTAAGTGGCAGTGTTGCCAAGGACATTTGAAGGTTGGGAGAGCGCCTGCTCCTCAGATAAGGATCCACTGGGCATCTGATGCCTCCTCGCTAGGGCGGGGGTTGGGGGACAAAGCGACCCAAGGCTAGGAAGTGTTTTTGAAGACCGAGTAATATCCGGGCTGTACATCCGTGTTTACACTCTTGATATATGATTTTGAACAAAGTACTCCCATCTGCCCTGCTTACGCTTCGTTAGATAGGGTGAGCTTTAAATATTGGAAGTATTATGCAAATGTAAGCTGGTAGTACAGGAAATGTTAGGATGTCTAGCCTGGTGCATCACAAAGAGAGGAGCCAGATAACCCTGTGGAACCACTTTTCCAGCAGGCCCTGGAACAATAAGGGAGTTGTAATCAAGGGAAGGTTGCCTTACCAGTACAACATTGTGAAACCCTCAGAGGAGGAGGCTCTCTCTGGCCCTGCTAAACTTATTATGTTTCAAAATTGCTTCAGGAATATATATAATTTGCTTTTTTCGTTAAAAAAAAAAAAGTAGCAGTGTTGGGGATGGAACTTTACTGTAGTTTTAGTTTTGAAAAATTTTGTGTGAGCAATATAATTTTTAGCAGCAAAGAAATACTTAAAAATATAAATTGCAGGAGGAGGGTGGGGGGATCAACGAGATGGTTCAGACACTTGCCCCAAGCCTCAAGCCTGAATTCATCCCACAACCACATGGTGGAAAGGGAGTCCTGACTCCTGAAAGTTATGCTCTGACCTCCGAACATTTGGCACACACATACATATTACTGACTCATAAAATTATGGTTTAGAAAATTATTTAATGACATGGGAATGTACACAAATGTATTTTGGAAAGTAGACTGTATATTTCTGAAAGCAAAATTGGCTTGGTGTGATGGTACTAGCTTATAATCCCAGCACTTGGAAGATGGAGGCTGGAGGACAAGGAGTTTAAGGCTGACCTCATCCACATAAGTGAGTTTTGAGGCCAGGCTGGGCTACATGAGACCCGGTCTCAACCAAAAGTCAATGACAAGGAAATATTTGCTCCCACATATCTACAAGGAGCATATAGTATTATCAGGAATTTTAGGTGCCAGCTTTTATTATCAGAAAACATAGGATGTGGTAGCACATGCCTGTAAATTCCAATACTCTGGAAACTGAAGTAGAAAGATGGAGAGTTGGAAGCCAGCTGGACTATGTAGTGAAAATCTGTCTCAAAAATAAAAAACAAAGGCTGGAGAGATGGCTCAGTTATTAAAAGTGCATTCTGTTCTTCCAGAGGATCCAGGATTCAAGTTCAGTTCCCAGGACCTCCATTGAACAGCTCACAACCACATGTAACTCCAGCTCTGAGGCATAAAGCATCCTCTTCTGTCCTCCAAGAGCAGACACACACATATACATAATTAAAAAATAAAGGGGCTGGGGGAGGGTATCGAATTCGAATGCCTTTATTCCCAGCATGGGGAGCATGGGGGGGCAGAGGCAGGAGGATCTCAGTGAGTTCCAGGTCGGCCCACAGAGTGAGTTCCAGGACAGATAGGGCTACACAGAGAAACCTGTCTTGAAAAAACTTAAAAAATGGAGAGGCTGAAGAGATGGCTCAGCAGTTAAGAGCACTGGCTGCTATCCCATAGGAGCTGGTTTCAGTTCCCACCACCCACATGGTGGCCCACATGGTCTGTAACTCCAGTTCCAAGGAATCCAGCACCCTTTTATGGCCTCTTGGACACCATGCACAGATGTATATGTAGGCAAAACACCCATACACATAAAATTAAGAAATTTAAAAATAAAACAAAAAGAAAGATGAAAGGAGGTACAAGTGGGTAGAAAGAGAAAGGAAACCTCATGTACCATTCCTAAAAGAAAATGCAGTTTTATCTATTGTTTTATTTTTCTATTGTAAATTAGATATAATTTGCATACAGTAAAATTAGTCCTTTTCAGTTTCCAATGCCATGAGCTTTGATAAATGCATATAGTCATACAAGCACACCACAATCCAGTTAGGACATTTCCATCACCCCCCCTACTTTTCTTCGCATCCACTCTGTTATCTGGAAAACCACTGGCCTGAGGTTTAGTCTTAGAGTTTTGGCTTTTCCAGAATGTCAAAAATTCCTTTAAGTGGAATCATACAGTATATCACCTTTTTTCTCACTTAGCATGATGGGTTTGTGATTCATCCATGTTATTACTTATGCCATCAGTTTGTTTCTTGCTGTGTAGTACACCATTGACTTTATCTTCTTACTGATTTAAAGACACTTGGGTTGTTTTCAGTTCTGAGGAGTTGTGAATAAAGCTGCTATAAACATTCCTGTCTACATTTTTGTGTAAATTCCCCATTCACTTAGATGTATACCTAGAAGTGAGATTGCTAAGTGGTATGATCTATTTGTGTTTACAGTTATAAGGGTATTATGTTCACATTCCTACCAACAATGTTTAAGAGTTTCGGATACTCAGAGAGTTTCTTTTTATTGATGATAATAGCTTATGTTTCCTAAGGCTTACTATATGTCACGCACATACCAAGCATATTACATATCTTGACTCTTGATCCACAGAGCAATTCTGAAGCTTGTAATTACCATAATCCCAATTTAACAGTTGAAGGAATGGAGAGCTGGTTCACATAAATAAAACAACCTAGATCCTATGGCTAAGTATTTCTGTCACTCATTCAGTAACGATATTCAACACCTGTTCCTACTGGTGACAGACAAGCAGCTAGGCTGGGTGCTGAGCCCAGCAAAGAACCAGATACACCAAATTTCTGCCACCACAGAGCTAACTGCTTGTAAGGAGATAGTCTGGGTCCAAAGCCAGACGAGGACAGGGCACACTGAGATGTGCTAAGAGATCATGGGTGTGGATGCCACTGGGGAAGCTCTCTCTTCGGAAGTGATTTTTAAGCTCAAGCAATGCGGAAGAGAAGGGATGACAAACAAAAGTAACAGTGTGTGCAAAGCCATGAGGAAGAAAGGATCTGGCTAGGGTGTAGGGTTTTGAAAGACAAGGGCAGAGTGGTACAAGTAGATGCTAGAGAACTGGGTGGAGCCAGATGATTGAGTGTTGAGAGCTGTCATAAGGAAAAAGATAGCCTTTGAAGGACTAGAGGCAGGAGAATGGTAACATCAGGTGCACTGCTCTTATCAACACTTGCCCTCTGGTTTCCTTTCTCTGTTTCTGAGCTGCCTATATTGTTACAGAGAATCTAGAACCAAAGTGATCATGTCCAGTGGTTATTGCTGGTTGTCCTTTGTATCCATTGTCAGTGGTCACTATCTGCTACCACTCAAAACTGTTCTTCCTTCTGAAGTTCCCAACTCCAATATTAATAGTAATATTAAATGAAAGTTCAGCCTAGGGGTTTGTATAGTACCAAAAAACAAAAACAAAAACAAAACAAAACAAACAAAAAAAGTAGGCTGCTTAAGAGTCCAGGTAGACACTAGTTTAAAAAGTGCATTGTGGCTGGGCAGTGGTGGTGCGTGCCTTTAATCCCAGCATTTGGGAGGCAGAGACAGATGGCCAGCCTGGTCTACAGAGTGAGTTCCAGGACAGGCTCCAAAGCTACAGAAATCCTGTCTGGGCAGGGGTGGGAGAGTGGGGTGGGGTGTGTAGTGTCTGGCTTGATGGCTCAGCAGGAAAGACACTTGCCACTAAGCCTAATGACTGGAGTCCCTGACACCCACATGGTAAAAAAAGAACCAATTCCCACAACTTTCCTCCATCTCACTCTTCCATTTCTTCAGAGACAGACTGCACGCAATTCCGTGATGGCCTGCTAATCCACTGAATAGGGTCTTGGCATGCAATTCAGGGAGCTCAAATTGCCATCTTCTCTCTCTCTCTCTCTCTCTCTCTCTCTCTCACACACACACACACACACACACACACACACACACAATAAATAAATAAATAAATAAATAAATAAATAAATAAACAAGGTTTTTTTAATGCATTAGGATAAGCAATGACAGACCAAGCTGTTTATAATAAGCAAAGAGGGAAGTACCTTTGGCTGGAGAAAAACAGATGATATGCTTTTAATATAAGTATAGTGTGGACATTTATAGATAAGAAGGATTTGTATATGAAAATAAGCTTGTGATAGTCTCTCAAATGAACTTGGCTTTTAAAAATAATTTCCTGTTATTCTGTGGCATAGTGTACAGGTGATACAAGGTGTTAACAGAGAACTTACTTAATGCCATGAAATCCCACACATAGGGCATGTGCTCAATCTCTAAGACTTTGAAATAAAAGAGCTTGGGGGTGTAGCTCAGTTGGTGGAGTGCTACCTACCATGCTCAAAGCTCCAGGTTTGATTCCTAGCCCAGCCTACACTGAATGTGCTGGTCCATGACTGTAATCCCAGCATTTGGGAGGTGGAAGCAGGAAGATTAGAAGTGAAAGACCACTTTCAGCTACATATTGAATTTAAAGCAGTCTTGGATACATAAAACAATAAATGAAGCAAAACTAAATCTTGAGGAACATACCCTTTGACAGATGCCTGAAAGCTAGGTATGCTGGCACACACCTGTAATCTCCGTTAGTACTTGGGAGGTTCCGGCAGGGAGATGGCGATTTGAGCTTCATCTGAACTGCATAGTGAGATCCTATTTCAAAAGACAGATAC